TAATTTCTCTTTGCCAGCCTTGAATTGATGCAATTCTTATTAGTATAGTAATAGTATAGTAGTAAAGTTGGAAGGGACCTTGAGGTCATCTAGTCCAACCCCCTGCTCAGGCAGGAAACCCTACATCATTTTGGACAAATGGCTGTCCAATCTCTTCTTAAAACTTCCAGTGTTGGAGCATTTACTACTTCTGGAGGCAGGCTGTCCCACTGATTAATTGTATTAGTTTGATAGATAACCAATAAAGATAAAGTTTTTTTCAACATTTCTACCAACAATACTCACATCCATATCATGCCTCTTTTCTGTGTGATCCTCTTGGTTGCCTTGTCAAATCCTGTTTACAATTCTTATTTAACTTGGTTTCCCCTACAATGTTCAAAACCTTCTCACTGGTTAAGATTTTCTCAAGGTTAATTCCATTTTAAGTATTTAGCTCTATTTTCCTCATACAGGCCGTCCCAACACGTTTACATTTCTCATGTCTTTTTTTTAAAAAATGTGTTTTGAAATATTTTTTTTTTATTCTTATCTCGGCGAGAGGCTTCAAAGCAAATGCCAACCGCAGTAATAATACTAACAATAATACTAACCACAATAAGAATTGTATTTGCTTAGGGTGGAAAAATGTCTACAGAGGAAGATAGGCTATATTGGAGGGTGTAATGTTGGATTGAATTTGAAGAAGCCTAAATGTACTACGGAATTACTAAGGGACTCAGTCATCACATTGCTTATTAAGCACTTGATTGTAAAAACGGAAAATTAATAAATATTTTCTTAAAAAAAGAGCAAATGCCAGGGTCATTTAGCAAGAACATTCCCCGATGACTTAGCCAAAGCAGTGATATTTTCGGCTGTTTGTCAAGCCAAAAAGAGACTCCGGCAGGAAATAATTTGATTTAATTAAAGAATAAGATCTTTGTTTTCCCACGTTCAGTTCATCCCAGCTCAGACGCAGTACGGAGCTTGAGTTAGCCCCCGTCGTTCAAAGGGACGAGAAGAGCCACGTCAGCTCCTGGGTTGGGTTCAGCAAACAAAAGACTAGTTTCACTGCTTTCTGGAACAGATCCAGCCAGGGTTCAATTAACGGAGAAGCTACCAGGAAAGGCCACATCTTGACAGGTGACCAAAATGACCATGGCTGGTGTAGAAGAGTCCCAGACAGAAAAATATATGTATATGTATGTGTATGTGTATATGTAGATGGATGGATGGATGGATGGATGGATGAGGAGAGAGAGAGAGAGAGAGAGAGATGGATAGATGATAGATAGATAGATAGATAGATAGATAGATAGATATAGATATATAGACAGACAGATAGTATAGACAGAGACACAGAGACGAGACAGACAGACAGACAGACAGACAGACATAGATACATAGATAGATAGATATAGATAGACAGCAGAGATAGATAGAGATAGAGAGAATAGAGATAGAGAGATAAAGATAGAAATACAGACATATAGATAGATAGATAGATAGATAGATAGATAGATAGATAGATAGAGATAGATAGAGATCAGACAGACAGACACAGACAGACAGACAGACAGATAGATAGATAGATATATAGATAGATGATATAGAGACAAAGATAGATAATAGATAGATAGATAGTGATAGATAGATAGATAGATAGATAGATAGATAGATAGATAGATGATAGATAGATGATAGATAGACAGACAGTTAGAAGATAGAGAAGATAAAGATAGAGAGAGACAGAGACAGAGACGATATATAGATAGATAGATAGATAGATAGATATGATAGATAGATAGATAGATAGATAGATAGATAGATAGATAGATAGAGATGAGACAAACAGACAGACAGACAGACCGACAAGATAGATAGATAGATAGATAGATAGAGAGACAGAGATAGGTAGATAGATAGATAGATAGATAGATAGATAGATAGATAGATAGATAGATAGATATAGAGATATAGAGATATAGTGATATAGATAGATAGATAGATAGATAGATAGATAGATAGATAGATAGATAGATAGATAGACAGAGATAGGTAGATAGATAGATAGATAGATAGATAGATAGATAGATAGATAGAGACAGAGACAGAGACAGAGACAGACAGACAGACAGTCAGACATAGATAGATAGATACATAGATAGACAGACAGAGATAGATAGAGATAGAGAGAGATAGAGAGAGATAGAGAGAGATAAAGATAGAGATAGACAGACGGAGATAGATAGATAGATAGATAGATAGATAGATAGATAGATAGATAGATAGATAGATAGATAGATAGAGATAGAGATGAGACAGACAGACAGACAGACAGAGACAGACAGACAGACAGACAGACAGACAGACAGACAGATAGATAGATAGATAGATAGATATAGAGACAAAGATAGATAGATAGATAGATAGATAGATGGATGGATGGATGGATGGATGGATAGATAGATAGATAGATAGATAGATAGATAGATAGATAGATATAGAGACAGAGATAGGTAGATAGATAGATAGATAGATAGATAGATAGATAGATAGATAGATAGACAGAGATAGGTAGATAGATAGATAGATAGATAGATAGATAGATAGATAGATAGATAGATATAGAGATATAGTGATATAGATAGATAGATAGATAGATAGATAGATAGATAGATAGATAGATAGATAGATAGATATAGAGACAGAGATAGGTAGATAGATAGATAGATAGATAGATAGATAGATAGATAGATAGATAGATAGAGAGATAGAGAGATAGAGAGATATAGTGATATAGATAGATAGAGAGAGAGAGAGAGAGAGAGACAGAGACAGAGACAGAGACAGAGACAGACAGACAGACAGTCAGACATAGATAGATAGATACATAGATAGACAGACAGAGATAGATAGAGATAGAGAGAGATAGAGAGAGATAAAGATAGAGATAGACAGACGGAGATAGATAGATAGATAGATAGATAGATAGATAGATAGATAGATAGATAGATAGAGATAGAGATGAGACAGACAGACAGACAGACAGAGACAGACAGACAGACAGACAGACAGACAGACAGACAGATAGATAGATAGATAGATAGATATAGATACAAAGATAGATAGATAGATAGATAGATAGATAGATAGATAGATCAGATAGATGGATGGATGGTGGATGGATGAGATGGATGGATGGATGGATAGATAGATAGATAGATAGATGGATGATAGATAGATAGATAGATAGATAGATAGATAGATAGATAGATAGATAGATAGATAGATAGATAGATAGATAGACAGAGATAGGTAGATAGATAGATAGATAGATAGATAGATAGATAGATAGATAGATAGACAGAGATAGGTAGATAGATAGATAGATAGATAGATAGATAGATAGATAGATAGATAGATAGATAGATAGATATAGATATAGATATAGATAGATAGATAGATAGATAGATAGATAGATAGATAGATAGATAGATAGATAGATAGATATAGAGACAGAGATAGGTAGATAGATAGATAGATAGATAGATAGATAGATAGATAGATAGATAGATAGAGAGATAGAGAGATAGAGAGATATAGTGATATAGATAGATAGAGAGAGAGAGAGAGAGAGAGACAGAGACAGAGACAGAGACAGAGACAGACAGACAGACAGTCAGACATAGATAGATAGATACATAGATAGACAGACAGAGATAGATAGAGATAGAGAGAGATAGAGAGAGATAGAGAGAGATAAAGATAGAGATAGACAGACGGAGATAGATAGATAGATAGATAGATAGATAGATAGATAGATAGATAGATAGATAGATAGATAGAGATAGAGATGAGACAGACAGACAGACAGACAGAGACAGACAGACAGACAGATAGATAGATAGATAGATAGATAGATAGATATAGAGACAAAGATAGATAGATAGATAGATAGATAGATAGATAGATGGATGGATGGATGGATAGATAGATAGATAGATAGATAGATAGATAGATAGATAGATAGATAGATAGATAGATAGATAGATAGATAGATAGACAGATAGATAGATGACACCCTCTGGAGGTGTTAAGCTCAATGAAGATACAAGTACTTACAACGCATTGCTTAGTGACTGTTCAAAGTTACAACAGCTCTGGAAAAAAAGTGGCTTATGAGCATCTTTTTGCCCTTATGACTGTTGCAGCATCCCCAGGCTCATGTGATTTACATTCAGGTGCTTGGCAACTGACTCACATTTATGATGGTTGCAGTGTTCTCGGGGGTCACATGAGAACAGAACAGAACAGAGCTGGAAGGGACCTTGGAGGTCTTCTAGTTGAGCCCCCTGCTCAAGCAGGAGAACCTACTGTATAACATCTCAAACAAGTGACTGTCTAGACTCTTAAAAACCTCCAGTGATGGAGCGCCCACGATTTCTGGTGCCAGGCTGTTCCACTGGTTAATTGTCCTCAGTGTCAGGAAGTTTCTCCTTAATTCCAGGTTGCTTCTGTCTTTGGTCAGTTTCCATCCGTTGTTTCTCGTCCTGCCCTCTGGTGCTTTGGTGTATAACATGACCCCCTCCTCTTCTTTGGGGCAGCCCCTCAGATACTGGAACACTGTTATCATGTCTCCCCTATTTCTTCTTTTCTTTAAATTAGCCAAACCCAAGTCCTACAGCCGTTCTTCGTATGTTTTTGTCTCCAGGCTTTGGTTCATATTAAGTTGCTCTTCTCTGATTTTTTTCCAAACTCTCAACATCTTTTTTATGGTAGGGTGACCAAAACTGGCTGCAGTATTCCCGGTGTGGCCTCACTAGGGTTTCATAAAGCGGCACTAATACTTCGCATGATCTTGATTCTACGCCTCTGTTTATACAACCCAGGATTGTATTAGCTTTCTTGGCTGCTGCTGCTGCACACGGCTGGCTCATGGTCAAGTGTCCGTCCAGTATAATGGAAGTCCTTTTGATACAACCTTCAACCTCTTCCTTTGAATGCTTCTTCCACAGCTCCTCAGGTCTATCCCAGTAGGAATCGGGCAGGTCTACGGTTGCGATAACCCTTGGACTGGTGGCATCGTCATGTTGGCTCTTTTCCTGTCGTCCCCTCTCATCTTCAGCCATGCTGTGATTGGCTCAGCGGTTGGAGTACCTGCAGGTATGACAGGTGGCCTTATATTATTCAACTTTCTCCAAGATCCCAAACATGCTGGGCCTAGAATTCTTACTGTCCATGTTGGTGGGATGTTCTCGGAAAAAGAGGTTCACAATTCCAGTATCTCAAGAACATCAATATCTCAAGAGCTTCGTGTTGCGGTAGTGTTCTGTGGTGCCGCGCACGGACGAAACTCTGGGATCTAGCATTTATTGATAGTCAGATTTATTTGCAAAGGTAATAATAATAATAATAATAATAATAATAATAATAATAATAATAATAATAATAATAATAATAATAATAATAATAATAATAGTACAAGCAGCGGCATGACAAAGTAGCAACAATGGTGCATTGGAAGATCTGCAAAAAATATCATTTGCCTGTAAGCAAAAACTGGTGGGATCATAAAATAGAGAAAGTCATAGAAAATGAAAAAATTAAACTGCTCTGGGACTTCAGAATTCAAACAGACAAGCACCTGCAACATAACACCCCAGAATTAACAATTGTCGATAAGAAAGACAAAAAAGTCTGGATAGTGGACATGGCAGTGCCTGGAGACAGCAGAATAGACGAGAAAGAACTGGAGAAGATAACAAAATACAAAGACCTACAAATAGAAATAGAACGACTGTGGCAAAAGCAAGCAAGGGTAATACCAATAGTAATAGGCTCCTTGGGTGCAATTCCAAAACAACTGGAGTACCACTTGAACACCATTGGCATTGACAAATTCGCTCTTAGTCAATTGCAAAAGGTGGCCTTACTGCTTCCATCCTGCGACAATATCTGTAATACCATCAAACATCCACATCTGCCTATCCCAGGTCCTGGGTAAGGACTCGATAGGTAGACAAAATGCCAAATCCAGTCTGAACATCTGGCTGACTGTGCGATGATTCATAATAATAATAATAATAAAAAGTTGGAAGGGACCTTGGAGGTCATCTAGTCCAACCCCCTGCTCAGGCAGGAAACCCTATACCACATTTCAGACAAATGGCTGTCCAGTCTCTTCTTAAAAACTTCCAGTGTTGGAGCATTCACCACTTCTGGAGGCAGGCTGTTCCACTGGTTAACTGTTCTAACTGTCAGGAAGTTTCTCCTTAGTTCTAGGTTACTTCTCTCCTTGATTAATTTCCACCCGTTGCTTCTTGTCCTGCCTTCAAGTGCTTTGGAAAATAGCTTGACTCCTCTTCTTTGGGGCAGCCCCTGAGATATTGGAACACTGCTCTCATCTCATCCTTCTCTTCATTAAGCTAGACATACCCAATTCCAGCAGCTGTTCCTTATATGCTTTAGCCTCCAGTCCCCTAATCATCTTTGTTGCTTTTCTCTCCACTCTTTTTAGAGTCTCAATGTCTTTTTTACATTGTGGTGACCAAAACTGGATGCAGTATTCCAAGTATGGCTTTACCAAGGCCTTGTAAAGTGGTATTAACACTTCACGTGATCTTGATTCTGTCCCTCTGTTGGACAGACTTTGATGGCTGGGCGTCACACTTAACCTGTGTCAGGGAAGATGTGAGCTAGCGATCCAAACCAAACAAGTCCAGGGTCTTTGGGGATAACACATTTTCAGGACAGACCTTGGGTAGCCTCTTCCTTTCTTCTTAGAAAGGGTCAATTTGGACATTCATTCCATTTTTGAGTATTTCCCTCTCGAGATGAAGAGTAGCGATGCCACCAGGTTTCGGTAACTGTGTTCGAAGGTAGTTCCAAGACCTCAAAGAGCAGTCGTGAGTTTTAATGTGGAGAAAAGCAAAGTTTTACATTTAGGCAGGAAAAATCAAAGGTACAAGTACAGATTGGGCGAGATCTGGCTCAAAAACAGCAACTGTGAGAGGGACCTCGGAGTCCTAGGGGACGATCCCTTGACCGTGAGCCAGCTGTGTGTGGCAGCAGCCAAAAAAAGCTAATACAATCCTGGGTTGCATAAACAGAGGCATAGAATCAAGATCACGTGAAGTATTAGTACCGCTTTATAAAACCCTAGTGAGGCCACACCTGGAATAGTGCAGCTAGTTTTGGTCACCATATCACAAAAGAGATGTTGAGAGTTTGGAAAAAATTCAGAGAAGAGCAACTAAGATGATCCAACATATAAAGATTCTATGGATCTGGTCTCTCCAGATCTTCTGATCTTGTGCTACTTCTTTGAGTTGTTCTATGCCAGGGATCTTCAAACTTAGCCCTTTTATGACTTGTGGACTTCAACTCCCAGAATTCCTCAGCCAGGCACTCGTGCCTGGCTGAGGAATTCTGGGAGTTGAAGTCCACAAGTCATAAAAGGGCCAAGTTTGAAGGCCCCTGCTGTATGTCGCAAAGGTGGTTTTCCAAAAGACAACTGGATGTTCTTGGTTTTTTTTTTCCTTGAAAATGTTTTACTTCTCATCCAAGGAGCTTCTTCAGTTCTCTTGGACGAGAAGCAAAATGTTTTCAAGTCCAGTTGCCTTTTGGAAAAAGACTCAGAATAGAATAACAGAATCGGAAGGGACCTTGGAGGTCTTCTAGTCCAGCCCCCTGCTCGAGCAGGACACCCTATATCATTTCAGGCTGTCCAGGGTCTTCTTAAAACCCTCCAGTGATGGAGCGCCCACGATTTCTGGTGACAAGCTGTTCCACTGGTTGATTGTCCTCCCTGTTAGGAAGTTTCTCCTTAATTTCAGGTTGCTTCTCTCTTTGATTAGTCTCCATCCATTGCTTCTTGACCTGCCTTTAGGTCAGCAGTTCTCAACCTATGGGTCACGACCCTATTTGGGGTCGATCGACCATTTCACGGGGATTGCCAAGCAAGGCTGTCCGCCATTTTTTTTCCCCTTTTCCGGCGGAGGCCTTACCTCCCTTAGGCTGGGCCAGCTGGTAGCCCAGCCGGTGGTCGGCCTGCACCATCTCTGCCGCTTGCCAGCTATGCCTCGGCCGGCGCAGGGGATGGCACCACGCACGCGCGGCGCTCCCGGGCAGGGAAAGTCCTTGACTTACGACGGGTTGGGTAGTCCTCGACTTACGACCAGTTTAGTCCTCGACTTACAACTGGTTTAGTCCTTGACTTACGACTGGTTGGGGGTCGCGGCATTAAAAAGGTTGAGAACCACTGCTTTAGGTGCTTTGGAGAATAGGCCGGCCCCCTCTTCTTTGGGGCAGCCCCCCAAATGTTGGGAAATGGTTATCATATCTCCCCTAGCCCTTCTCTTCCCTAGATTAGACATACTCAATTCCTGCACCTTTGAGAATAACACTGACCTGGATGATTGAGAATCTCCCTAGACCAAGATACGGACTATTATAAAACTTGGAATTTATTTTATTCTTGGTTAGAGAAAAGAATGAGGGATTAGGAAGTGAACATGTATTAGCTTAGCAAACACCAGGCAACTTGTTGATTGGAAAAATTAACATATGTTGATGGGAAAAAAATTAATAAAAAAGATTGTTAAAAAAAAAAAAGAGAGAATCTCCACAGACCAGTGGTGGCGAACCTATGGCACGGGTGCCAGAGGCGGCACTCAGAGCCCTCTCTGTGGGCATGCGCGCCGTCGCCCCAGTCCTAGGCCTTCAGCTGGGTTTTATAAAACCTTTTCGCTTTAGGCCTCTGCCGCCGTGTGCAAAACAAAAAAAGATTCAATCAATCCGTCAATTTTAACTTCTCGCGGGAAAAAAAAGATCTCGCAAAGTTGGAATTGATTGATTAAACTTTTTAGTCCCACCCAGTCTGCCGTTACCACCGTAGCCACGCCCACCCAATGGGCCACGCCCACCCAATGGGCCACACCCAGCCAAATGGGCCACACCCACCCGGCACCCGGCGATGCATCAGTGGGTTTTGGGTTGCAGTTTGGGCACTCGGTCTCTAAAAAGGTTCGCCGTCGCTGCCGTAGACGTTGATGGGAATCATGTTCCTTTTGGGGTTAAAGCTACAGAGGTGGACACCAGGAGGAGAGGTGGACATCAGGAGACCTTCTGGATTGCCATATTCTCTATGGGTTCAGCCATTTTTTCCATCTGTTTTATTTTGTAGCTCTGAGCCTGGCTTCCCCTTTGAACAAAATGTATGCCGGGTTGTGGAACTACAACAGCTGCCTCTCCTGCATTGCCATCGGCGGGATGTTCTACGCCCTCACCTGGCAGACATTTGTGTTGGCAGTCACGTGCGGTGAGTAACCAGGCTCTTCACAGCACTAACATTCAGATCGTCCTCGTTTTATGACCAATCGCTTTGTGGCCGTTGAGAGTTCTGATGGACCTACCATATTTACCACCTGGATTCAAAGTTCTGGCGGTTCCCTCGTCGCCCTGCCCCCCCCCCGTGATCACATGACTGCACTTCAGATCTATGGCAACCAGGCCCCATTTACTGTCATTTGCGTTCACTTAACGACCGCAGATTTACTGAAGGGCCAGAGTGATCCACTTAACCATCATCGCCCTCCATAAAATCAGGGATAGTCACCCAATCCTGTCCTATGATGGTGAGCCATTGGCTTGCTTAATGACCGCAGCTTTTGCTTAGCAACCATTGATTCACTCGTGTTGTGATTCCTCGCCAGCCAGTGGACCCGGCAGCTGAGTCTGAGGAGGAGAGGAGGGGCCTGGAGTGACATCAGAGGAAGGCTCTGAGGAGCTCAAAGATTTACAGTCGGACAAGGAGTCTGGCCCCTCTACTCGCCCTCAGGCTGAGACACAGCTGTGCTGGGAGCCTGAGTTGGACAGTGATGAAGAACAGCTGGGACAAATCCCAGATGCACAAATGCACAGGAAAGAGAAGAGAGTAGGACAGAGGAATGCAATGGGGCGGCTCCAAAGGCAAAGGAGAAGGCATTAGGAAGCCATGCCTTGGCTGAATTATAAAAGGGAAGGTGTGGGAGGTGTGGTTGCTGAAGGCAACTGTTTGTGTTAAGGAACCAAGTTTCAGTGAACTGTGTTTTGTTTGCCTTGGACATTGACTCGGGTCTGTAAATAATAAAAGGGGATTGGTTTTTTCCTGCGGTTCCAGCCTGCTTGTTGGAAGAGGGGTTTCTCCTTGTGAGCATAACAAGGACTCACGTATGCTGGGACACAACAACTTGGCTGCCACAGGATTCACTTAACAACCACCGCAAAGGAAGGTCATGAAATCCGGACAGTCACACAAGCCCATTTTACGACGGCTTTGAAGGGAACCGTTGGTTTGCTTAGTGGCTGCAGCTTTCACAAAATGGCTGCCGTGATTCACTTAACAATCAGAGGTCATAAAATGGCAGGCACCATTAGGGTCATAATTCGAGGGATACTTCTAGGAGCAAAGGATTTGGCCGAGTTCACACAAATTGTTAAAGCCAGGTGAACAAATACAGTTACTTGATTCACCTCCTTGTTGTGATGCAACCAATAGACCAGGGGTCCCCAACCTGTGGGCTGTGGCCCGCTACCGGTTCATGGCCTGTTGACCACCGGGCTGTGGGAATGGCTGGCCAATGTGGGCGCACTCCCCCCCTCTCGCGCTAACCCCACTCCATGGTTGCTAGAGCCCCCATTTGTGCTTGTGCATGGGCTCCCATGGCCCCATTTGCACAGGCGTGCAGGCGCTAGCACCACTGTGAGCCTTGTGCAGGTACACACGGCCCCATGTGCACATGAGCGCCTGTAAATTTGCCTGCTCCTCCCTTTTCCTCCGGGCTGCCAACCTGGAAAATTTGGGGACCTCTGCAATAGACCCCCTTCTGGTTTAGTGTGATGGGCTGCTTCGCCCATCCCCACAGGTCACAATAATGGCTAAACCTCAAACGAGTGAACCTGGTTTTTACCTGGGTGTTAGATGAACGTTGCCACTGGAGAAAACAGTTGTGTTTGGAAGAGTTAGCAGTGAAAGGAAACCAGGCCGAGAAAGAACAGGATGCCTGGACACCCTGCTAGCTGACCCCAACCAGAGCATAGAACAACTCAAAGAAGTAGCGCAAGGTCTGAAGATGTGGAGAGATCCAGTCCATAGAATCGCCAAGAGTCGGACATGATTGAAGGGATAACACCACCCTCAATGAACTCTGCCTTGGATTCCCTTTCCTGTTCCAACAACCAAGCGGTTGGACCCACGACAAAACAACAAAAGCTCGGGGGAACGAAGAATGTGATAGCCCTGCTTTAACACAGGGGTCTCCAACCTATGGTCCACAGCCCAGTACCGGACCATGGCCTGTTGGCCACCAGGCCACAGGAATAGCAGCCGAGCCACCCCACTCACGGTAGTGCCACCACGCGGGGGCTAGTGGCCCCCTTTTGCGCACACACAGGGGCACTAGCACTGCCATGTCACGTGGGCACTAGTGGCCCACTTGCACATGTGCGTAGGTGCCAGCGGCCCATTTGTGCGGGCGCCAGCAGCCCGTTTGCGCATGTGTGTGGGCACCAGCGTGCCGCCATGGATGCGCACAGCCCACTTGCACGTGCGCACACCCGCTACCACTGCCACAGTGATAGCGTGTCCGTTTGCGCACGGACATTTCCCTGCTTCTCCCTTTCCTTCTGGGCCACTAAGCAGGAACACTTGGTGAGCCAAGCTTTCACAAATGACTATTTTAATTCATTATGTCACTTTTATTGCATTTATTAACTGTACTTATGCATTTATTTATTGGAGCTCAGCAGAGGGTCCCAACCCAACAGCCCACTTTACGACTCAGTGTTTTGTGGGAATTCCCTGCCCCCCACCCAAAAAGTGGCTTTCTTGATTCGTACCCCGCCTTTATGTTTGTTACAAATAACGCAAGGCAGCAAACATCTCCAACGTTACGTTCCCCCTCCTGTTTTACCCACAACAATCTTGTGAGGTGGGTCAGGCCGAGAGGGAGGGGGGCTGGCCCCGAGTAACAGATTGGAGTCTCTTTCACCATCTGTCCCTTAACCCCTTATTATTTCAGAGTCTCTTACAATCAGTAGCAACGTTACTTATTTATATTTCTTTTTGCAGCTTTCTTTACCGCCTACGTGGGAGAAGCGATGAGCCGTATTTTTTCCGTGGTACGTTGCTGAGCATCAGGGAACGAAGATTGACTTGTATCTCTTAAATCGTCATCAATTCTTTCTGAGGGGGGGGGGAATGACAGGTGGCTTAAATGGGGGGAGAGTCTGTCTTATTTTAACCTCACAACGTCCCACCTGCAAGGCGTAGCCGTTAAGACACGTGGTAACCCGTTTAACGACCGCAATGACTTACAAGCAAAATTGCGATCGTTAAGTTGAGGACTACCTGTAGTACAGCACACACAAGTGTGTTGAGTAAATCCCGAAGTAAGACAGTGGAAATGAATCAAGGAGAGAAGCTACCTAGAACTAAGGAGAGATGTATTAAGTGTCGTGGTTCCGACTAATGAAACATTTCAAAGAACTTCCAGGCATTTATTTTCCTAAAAGTCTTTTATTGTTACAAAATGTCGGCACAGGCACAACGGAGGGATGCTAGGATCTAAGTTCTCTTCCTCTGAGCAGTTAAATTATCAGCATGTTCCCTCCCTAAATTAGCCGTCATATCTCACATTATCCAATTAGTGTGAGGGTCAAATGTTTTCTTCCTCTTTCTTTCCTGGGCTTTACCCCCAACCCCCCTTCTGCTCTGTATTAACCCCATAATAACCCCATAATAACCCGACAATTCTGCATATTGTCAAAAGCAAGAATATACAATATTTGCAGCGTTGACATTAAGAGTGAGAACAATTGATCAGTGGAGCAACCTGAATAGAATAAGAATAGAACAACGGAGCTTGAAGGGATCTTGTAGGTCATCTAGTCTGACCCCTTGCCTAAGACGGAGTCCCTACACCATTTCTGACAGATGGCAGTCCCATCTCTTCTTGAAAGCCTCCTGGAGGTTTTTAAGAAGAGATTGGACAACGATTTGTTTGAAGTTGTACAGGGTCTCCTGCCTGAGTAGTGGGCTGGACTAGAAGACCTCCAAGGTCCCTTCCAACTCTGCTGCTCTGTTATTGTCCACTTGATATTACTGCCAGCGAGGTGGATATCTTCCCTTGTTGTTTAATTCCAAAAAGTGTGTAGCACGTTCTAAGTTTACAACAGATGTAAAAACGGGGCAGGGCTTTCACCAACATCTTTGCGGCCACCCTCTTGATTTTGTATAAACTCCCCAAAAACATTTCTGAGATCGCAAAGGTGCTTTTTTTTCCAAAAGGTAACTGGACTTCCCTGTTTTTCTTTGAAGATGTTTCGCTTCTCATCCAAGGAGCTTCTTCAGCTCTGACTGGAATGGAGGGGAATGGAAAGATTTATACTCCTTGCAGACAGCCGGTCATTTGCAGTCTTTTAGAGCAGCGGTTCTCAACCTGTGGGTCAGGGCCCCATTTGGGGTCGAACGACCATTTCACGGGGGTCGCCAAACAACGCAGTCCGCCATTTTTTCCCCCTTTTGCTCAGCTGTGCTACTCCCTTTTATTCTATTGGCTTTTGAAAGCCAATAGAATAGACTCTCTTGAATAGAGTCTAATTCTATTGGCTTTCTAAAGCCAATAGGAATTGTCCAGGCTTTCTCTGCCCTGCTGAGCCCGCCAAAAGTCCCATTCTGCAAACGGGGCTGCACCAGTTGAGTAGTCCTCGACTTACGACCGGTTGAGTAGTCCTCGACTTACGACCGGTTGGGGGTCGCGGCATTAAAAAGGTTGAGAACCACTGTTTTAGAGAGTCCTTGAGGCCACTTGGAGGTTTATCTGTGTCCTCAGGGTCCCCTGAGCAGTGCAAATGGATGTGGAGCCTTCTTGGAACTGCTGAAAGGACAATGTTGTAACACAGGAGATAGATGATGTTGTATCCTCCCCCTCTGTTGAGGGAGGGCTGTTCAGTTTTGACCTAGACAGCCTCTTGGATCCCTTGTTCAAACCAATGGTCCTCTCTGTCCAAAATGTGGACTTTGCTGTCAGCAGTACATTTATTTATTTATGAGACTTATATACCGCTTTAAGTGCAAGCACTCTCTAAGCGGTGTACACCAGTAAGCAATGTATATCTATATTTACATTGCCCCCAACAATCTGGGTCCTCATTTTACCTACCCCGGAAGGATGGAAGGCTGAGTCAACCTGAGCCGGTGAGATTTGAACCGCTGACCTGCTGAAGACAGTCAGTTAAAGTGGCCTGCAATACTGCACTCTAACTGCTGCGCCACCTCGGCGCCACATCTGCATTTAAAAGGCCGCTCTTTTGAAGACAGCAAAGTCCACATTTTGGACCGTTGGTTTGAACAAGCGATCCAAGACCCCCATCTAGGTCAAAATTGAACAGCCCCCCCTCAACAAAGGGGGAGGGACACGACATCATCTCACTCCAGTCTACAACACCATCCTTTCCGTAGTCCCAAGAAGGCTCCCACACCCGTTTGCACCACTCAGGTGACCCAGAGGACACAGGTCAACCTCCAGGTGACCTCAACGACTCTCTGAAAGAAGGCAAGTAACCAGCTCTCTGCAAGGAGTATAAATCCTTCCATTTTCCCACCATCCAGTCCAAGCTGAAGAAGCTTCTCGGATGAGAAGCGAAACGTCTTCAAAACAAAACAAGAACGTCCAGTTGCGTGTTGAAAAAAGCACCTTTGGGGGACAACCATGATGGAGAGTCTCCATAGACCTATTTCTGAGATGTTGCTGTTTTTATTCCTTTCCAGTTTGGGCTTCCAGTCGGGACCTGGCCCTTCTGCTTATCTTCACTCACCTTCCTGCTCTTAACCATCAACAACGAGGCCATCTTCAAGCTGCCTCTTTCCAAAGTCACCTATCCCGAAGCCAATCGGGCATATTACATGGCGAGGAAGAAGCTGTGCCCTGAATCCATTTGTGACAAAGTGTAAATGAACCAAATCCAAAAATCTGTCTTGCAACTAGTTTTCCCAAGGAAGGATGGAACAAAGACTGAGTTTTCAGTGGACAATCTTCTTCTTCTTCTTCTTCTTCTTCTTCTTCTTCTTCTTCTTCTTCTTCTTCTTCTTCTTCTTCTTCTTCTTCTTCTTCTTCTTCTTCTTCTTCTTCTTCTTCTTCTTCTTCTTCTTCTTCTTCTTCCTTCTTCTTCTTCTTCTTCTTCTTCTTCTTCTTCTTCTTCTTCTTCTTCTTCTTCTTCCTCTTCTTCTTCTTCTTCTTCTTCTCCTCCTCCTCCTCCTTCTCCTTCTCCTTCTTCTCCTCGATTATTGATGCCTCCCCTTGGATCAGCCAAGTTCAACCTTCCAGAGGTTCTTCAGTCAGAACTGAGCGTAATATAGTACCTGATTCACCTGGAAAGGAACATAATATAGGTGGGACAATTCAGTTTAGACCAGAGGGGTCCAAACCTGGCAACTTTTAAGATTTGCGGACTTCAACTCCCAGAATTCCTCAGCCGTGTTTAAAAAAAAAGGCATAAAATCAGACGTGACTCATTTAAAAACTGCTTTGCTTAGTTAACAGTGGAACCAATTATGGCTGTAGGTCGAGAACTACTTGTAAAGAAGAGAAATTGTTATTATTATTTGCAAACTTAGCTGTTACCTGCAAGTTACGACTACTTTGAATGAATGAATGAATGAATGAATGAATGAACGAACGAATGCTTTATGTGGCCACGTGGGGTTAGACACACAATATTCTCTTTATGCAAATATTCAGGAAATCAATTGTTGTAAAATACGTTTACAACATCCTCAAATTCCTAGAATATAGAGAGTAGTGAGTGGTTAGTGCTAGAGCAAAATTGATCCAAAGAAGGCTTTCCATATATATCAATGCATTCCCAATTCATTAACCAAAATGTATAATCTGCACACTGAAGACATAACCAATCTAGGAGTGATCGTGTGTCAGCTCCTTTTCTAAGCACCGTGAGAAATGCTTGGGAAGATGAGTGACTACAGAAGCAGTTTTTCTCCCAGCTTCTGTAAGCTGTCCCAAAAGGACTGATGAGAAAGTGGCAATTGACAAGGATGGATCAAGTTAGGATGTTCTCAATATAAGCAGGAGAATCTCAGCAACAGAAGAAGATATTTACAGCTCAAGGTTTGCAGAGTAGAGGAGGAGGAGGAGGAGGAGGAGGAGGAGGAGGAGGAGGAGGAGGAGGAGGAGGAGGAGGAGGAGGAGGAGGAGGAGGAGGACAACGACGACAACGACCATGGGGTCCTTGGTGCTCTCTGAGCTTGGTAGTTTTCTTACAGACATTTCATGACCTAACTAGGTAGCGTCATCAGTGGTAGAAGGGGGTGGGGATTGTGAGGAGAAGGAGGAGGAAGGAAGGAGGAGTGAAAGGAGGAGGAGGAGGTGGAGGAGGACTGTGGGATCCTTGATGCTCTCTGAGCTTGGTGGTTTTCTTGCAGACGTTTCATGACCCAAGTAGGTAACATCATCAGTGTTAGAAGGGAGAGGGTTTTACAGAGAAGAGGAGGAGGGGGGGACTGTGGGATCCTTGGTTTTCTTGCAGACGTTTCATTACCCAGCTAGGTAACATCATTAGTGCTAGAAGGGAGTGGGATTTGATCTATTTTTAAAGACTAGTGGTTTACCCCAATCCAATAACTACCAATTCAGACAAACAATCAAACAGTACACAAGCCTAACCAAGGAAGCACAAGAACACCTCCACTAATACTGGCAGGGCAAACCACTTGTACATAGAGAACAAACCCCAATCTCTTCTAGCACGGATGATGATTGTCTAGTCGGGTCATGAAACTTCCGTAAGAAAACAACCCAGTTCAGAGAACACCAAAACCCTCACAAATCTCTGTTAAGTTGTAATTCTTGGCAGATGCCAGCAAACTGACCCCTGATGCTAGCCCTGATACCTTGTCTCCAAACCATGATTTATAAATGAGCTTGAATCATAGTTTGAAGAGCAGGATTCATTTCGGGTATCTTAGCAATGTAGAGTTGGGGAGAAGCATATTGAAAATGAAGAAGGGAGACCCAAGAGAAGGAACTTTTGTAAGTCCAACCATAATCTACAATTTATTGGAATTATTCTATGAGATATAAATCTATATAAGTCCTGTAAATCCATATAAGTCCTGTAAATAAGCTCACCCGATATGTGTATATATATATATATATATATATATATATATATATATATATATATTGTAAATAAACTCAATCAACATTATATATTGCCCTTTACTGTGTTACTACAAGTATAATGGATGTGTTTTAGGTTTTTATTTTTTTATGTATAGCAAATAAACTACGCCAAAATGCATGAACTAAAAAAGATTTTTTCTTTTTTTAATAATAATAATAATAATAATAATAGAGCTGGAAGGGACCTTGGAGGTCATCTAGTTCAACCCCCTGCTCAGGCAGGAAACCCTATATCATTTCAGACAAATGGCTTCCAGTTTCTTCTTAAAAACTTCCAGTGTTGGAGCATTCACAGCTTCTGGAGACATGTTGTTCTACTGGTTAATTAGAATAGAATAGAATAGAATAGAATAGAATAGAATAGAACAGAGCTAGAAGGGATCTTGGAGGTCATCTAGTCCAACCCCCTGCTCAGGCAGGAAACCCTATACCATTCCAGACAAATGGCTGTCCAGTCTCTTCTTAAAAACTTCCAGTGTTGGAGCATTCACAGCTTCTGGAGGCAGGTTGTTCCACTGATAAATTGTTCTAACTGATTAATTGTTCTAATGAAGAAAATGACGAGGGATGACATGATAGCAGTCTTCCAATATCTCAGGGGCTGCCCCAAAGAAGAGGGAGTCAAGCTATTCTCCAAAGCACCTGAAGGCAGGACAAGAAGCAACAGATGGAAACTCATCAAGGAGAGAAGCAACCTAGAACTAAGGAGAAATTTCCTGACAGTAAGAAAAATTAACCAGTGGAAAGTCAAGGAAACCATAGGCCCACTAAAGAGAGAAGATGGGCAACAGGGAGAAAGCAGAGCTGCTTAACTCATACTTTGCGTCAGTCTTCACACAAAAAGAAACTATAGCCCAACACACACACACACCCCCAAAAAAAACCCACTGCAAAAGACATACTAGAAACAAAAATTAAAAGAAGCAAGAAAATGGTAAGAGAACACCTTTCCAACCTTGATTAGATGCAACCTATTTTCATATTTGGTGGACTTGTAGAGATATAAAAGCTTTTTGGATTAAGATTTGGTGGAATATTTAAAAGATTTTTAAGAAAAAGATAAAGTTTACTCTGCAAATATTTTTGTTGGGTATCATGATAGATTTTGATGCTAAAGAAATTAATTTGATGCTGGATCTTATAACAGCTGCAAGATTATTGGTGGGGCAATATTGGAAGAAAAACTCTTTGCCTACTATGGAAGAATGGATACTTAAGGTATCTAATTTAGCAGAAATGGCGAAAATCTCCACCTATTTGAAGGACCATTCACAAGAAAAATACATTTCAGTTTGAAGAAGATGGATTGATTATATTCAAAAGAAATATGAGACTGAAAGTATTATCTTGCTTATGAGTAGATTTTAGATTATTTTTAATAGTTCAATATGGTTGAATTGTATTATTATTTTTGTTTTCAATTTGTTAATATTTTTTTGAAAAGGAGTTAAAGTACATTATGGTTTGATTGATAGTACAGTTGGGTAATGTTAGTTAGATTATGATTCTTGATTTTTTACCCCGTAATCAGCTCTGGGAAGTGGGGGAGGGGGGGAAGGGGATGGGAGGGGTTTAGGTTATATTGTATTAAATTTGTAAAACTTTTAATAATATATATATATATATATGTAGGTCTTTGGTTATTCGGGTTTTCTCCCACGTAAAATTGGAAGTGTCTTGACGACGTTTCGACAAAGTCTCATTCGTCATCTTCAGGCTGGTGTTTTCAGCTTCATGCTTCGAGGAGCTAAGACCACACATTGCTCCTCGAAGCACAAAGCCGAAAGCACCAGCCTGAAGATGACAAATGAGACTTCATCGAAACGTCGTCAAGACACTTCCAATTTTACGTGGGAGAAAACCCGAATAACCAAAGACCTACATACACCCGCGAAAACCTCAAAAAACATGTATGTATGTATGTATGTATGTATGTATATATAAATCACCGGGACCTGAGAGATTACATCCCGGAGTTCTGAAGGAACTGGCAGATGTTATCTCAGACCCATTGCACCACATCTTTCATAAATCCTGGGGCACCTGGGAAGTATCCAGAGGATTGGAAAAGGGCTGATGTGGTCCCCATCTTCAAGAAAGGCAAAAAAGGACCTAGGAAACGACAGACCAATCAGTTTAACCTCAATACCTGGGAACGTCCTGGAAAAGATCATCAAAAAACAGATCTGCGAACAACTAGAAGCAAACAGAGTCATAATGAGTAGCCAGCACGGGTTTGTTAAAAACAGATCATGCCAAACCAATCTTATTTCATTCTTTGATAAAGGGACTAAACTAGTAGACCAGCAAAACGCAGTATGCTTAGATTTCAGTAAGGCACTTGACAAGGTAGACCACAACCTACTCCATGGTAAGTTAGGAAAAGGTGGGATAGACAACATCACCACCAGATGGATCTGCAGTTAGCTAACAAACCGTACTCCACGAGTAGTCCTCGCTGGCACTACATCCACGTGGAGAGAAATAAGCAGTGGGGTACCACAAGGTTCCATCTTAGGCCCAGCAAACTCTTCAATGTCTTCACCAATGACTTAGATAATGGAATTGAAAGGGAACTCATCAAATTTGCAGATGACACCAAACTGTCAGGAATAGCCAACACCCCAGAAGACAAACTTGGAATCCAAAAAGATCTTTGACAAACTTGAACAATGGGCCCAATCCAACAAAATGAGTTTCCATGTGGAGAAAAGCAAAGTCTTACATTTAGGCAGGAAAAGCCAAAGGTACAAGTACAGATTGGGTGAGACCTGGCTTAAAAACAGCCACTGTGAGAGGGACCTTGGAGTCCTAGTGGACGATCGCTTGACCATGAGCCAGCCGTGTGCAGCAGCAGCAGCCAAGAAAAGCTAATACAATCCTGGGTTGCATAAACAGAGGCATAGAATCAAGATCAGGCGAAGTATTAG